TGAGTCGGAATCGACTCGACGGTGACAGATTTAGTTTGGTTTTTGGTTTTGTTTCGCTAGACCTTATTTGCAGTAGCAGAGTGGGGGTGGGGGGGGGACTTTCAATTAGGCCATTTGAGGCTCTCCCGACTTTACCAGCTGCCCAGGCAGCACGTAATATTGAGTCTTAATTTTAGGTCTTACACCACAATTGGCCCCTTGATGGTTTGACATCAATTTAAACCTTGGTGGTGATTGAGACTTCTAGAGAGTAAGAGAAGTGCCTCCCTAGGGAGTGAAGGAGGCACTTGACCAGAAAGGAGAGGCCACATGGTGAGGTGGTTGTCAACAATATGAACTTTACAGGTATCCCCCTTTATGGCCAAGAAAGGCAGTTGCGGGACCTGTGTGGCATAGATATAGGGAGTGCAAGTCCCTAGGGGGTGTGAATTTAGACTAGTCTACGCCTGTGGCAGTAGTGACACCCAGTAGGGTGTTGATTCGCCACTTTGTAACTTAAATAGGAGTGCTTTGAGGAGCCCATTGGAGCCCTAGTGGCGCAGTCGTTAAGCGTTCAGCTGCTATCTGAAAGGTCAGTGGTTGGAACTCACCAGCTGCTCTGCGGGAGAAAGATGTGATGTGGCAGTATTCTTCCGTAAAGTTCACAGCTTTAGAAACCTATGGGGTAGTTTTACTCTGTCCTGTAGTGTTGCTATGAGTTGGAATCGACTCCATAGCAACAGGTTTGGTTTTGGTTTGGCTTTGAGGAGCCCATTATGCCTCAAAATTAAACAGGCTGCCTGGAGTTTATAGGGAAGGTGGAAGTTCCATTGAATGCCTTCTTTGAGCCCAGCATTGTGTATCCTGAGAAATGAAATGTGTGCCTTGGTTACTATAGTAATGTGTGAAACTCCAAAGGGAATAAAGTGTGTTCTGGTCAGGCTCTTATTGTGGCCTTAGTGTGTGTGTAGACATCTGTCACCTTGATTTATATTTTGGATATCTGGTAGGCAAGAGGTTCCCAGAGCTCTTTACCCTGAAGGGGGCAACACTTAAGCATTGCTTAAGACTTTGTAAAAAATGTGCAGATGGGGCCATTGTTGGCCAGGGCACCCAGTGCTAAGGTGACTGCCTGAAGTTTACAGTTGTTCTCACCCTTGGACCCTGTCCTTTATCAGAGACATTCTGCTTAAGGAATGGAAAACAGCAACCCTCCACTGAGCTTCACCATGTATGATGGTGGTGGCGATGCTCTCATAAAGTCTATAAACTCCCATTGCTGTTCACTCAGTTGATCCCAAGGTGCCTTTGAGAGGGGGGACCTCTCCCAGCATCATGCCGTCTGGCAAGGGACTGAGTACAGGGGAAGTGACCCCCTGTGGTGGAATATGCCAAAGGGTCCAGATTTGCCTCCTTCCTCTAGCAAGAAGGCCTTGGTAGCCATGCAGAGCTTGCAGGGTGCTGCCTCCATGACTCAAGGCATAATGGGCGGCTGGGCATGGAGGGTCACAGGCTCAGGGTAGTTGAGAGCCTCTATCTCCAGGAGAACCCTGTATGTAGTCAGCGATTGCCACTCTAATGGTGTATAGAGCAGGGCCTAGGAGGACAGTTTCTTGCATCAGAAGCCTATGGACAACTTATGGCAATCATGGGAGGCCCGGAGACTCCAGGAGGTACAAGAGCAGGTTGCTAAAGCTCCTGCATGATGGCGTCTCTGGGGGCACTAATGAGAGTGCCTGTTGTAACCTTTTGCTGGAGAGGGCCAAATTTATGGTCGGCCAATTTGTAAGTAACAGCATCAAAGAGATTAAGTAAAATTTGTAAATGAGGAATATGATGCCTCCATAACCCAAAAAGGACTAAAAAATTAATTATAAAATATGAAAAGACTTATATTAATATTGTGGGTGCTGAGAGTGTCAACAGCTGTTTCTTAGCAGTGTCAGATGGAGCAGCGCTTGGTTTAGCAAATAATCTTCAGTAATTTAACCAAGGGAGCGGTGCCTTGCACTATGGGTGGGGTAATGGCCTATCTCCTTTTTGTGAGCTCCTTTGTGAATATTTGCATGTCCTGGATGAGTGTGTCAAATGAATGTCCTCGGAAGAGGATGTCATCAGTGGAATGTTATACCTGTGCTCCTAGAGAAAGATCGATGTAGTTAAGATCTTGCCTGCAAAGATTGTGTGTGATGTCAAGGCTGCTGAGGTGCCCCTTGGGTAGTGCCCCCTGGATAAAGGTGTATCATGTCCCTTCAGAGGTGAAGGCAAACTGGCTGACAGGCTGTTGAAATCAACAGGCACTGAACAGAACATATTAGCCAAATTTATAATAGCAAAATACCAGTTGCTGATTGGACAGAGCCAATAATTTCAGTAGTATTGGGTATGGGGTATGTAGGCCTTAATGGATGGGAACTCAGAAGTAAGGGTGCAGTAATCCACCATGAGGTGCCATTCATATTTTCCATGTTTAAGAATAAGTCAAACTGGGCTGTTTAATGGAGAAGCAGTGGAGATAACCACCCTTTAATGGAGAAGCAGTGGAGATAACCACCCCTTCACTCATTCGGTCTTATGTAATAAGTTTCAATCCTTGAAGACCCTGTTTTAATTAACAGTAGGTCACATTAACTATTTTAACTGGGGGTAGGGGGTTGTGGGGTCCAATTTTGTCAAGCCAATTTGACAAAAGTGACAAAGGCTTAAGTTAATTTGTTACTCATTGGGTAATGCCTGCTTTGGGATATTGTAGGGCAATGAGTGCAGTCACCACGGGGAATTTAGGCAAGATAAGGGTTCTGATGGTTAAAGTAAAGCATACCTATTTGTTTCTTATTTTATATTCAGCAACTCTCCTAAAATTATAGGGGGTACAGTGTTTAAATTTGGTGAGATCTCCAGGTATAGCTGTAATTTGAGCTCCAGTATTAAGTTCATCAGAGTTTACGAATTGTTGCATTCCAGTAGATGTTACAGTTAATTCAGAACCTATGTCGTAGAGGCACAAAAACCAATTAGCGCTCTTTTATCTTTTTGTTGTAGCAATTGTTTTAGTAAATTTTGGATTTCCAATTAGGTCAAATTGTAGACCTCTGCTTCAGCTTTTTTCTTTTTTTTCCTTTTGTCTACTACCCTTATATCCAAAGTTTCTTTCTAGTCCTTTTTTTCTTTTTTTGTCACTAGATACACTTTAGTAGGGAGGAGGGGTCCTACCTACTCTGCTTGTCTTTACAAGTTTTTTTCCCCAAGAGAGCCTCAAATCAGTATTGTCAGGGGTAGGGGCCTCCCCTATGACAGTGGTTGCTTTCAAATAGTTGAAGCACCCTGGCTTACGTCAGGTTTGTGTTAACCCCTTTGCTGTCCCACAGGGTGCCATGGGTTTTCCCTCTAACACTAAGGATCAGGATCTTTGTTGCAGCAGATGTAGAGGCAGCAGAGTGGTACAGCAGAAGAATGCTGGGCCCATCCATAAACCCGAGGTCGGTGGATTGAAACCAGCCTCTGCTACAACCCTGCCTTCTCCACCAGGCAGGCAGCAGCTGCTGCTGCTTCTCCTCCTCCTCCTCCTCCATTTTCTTCTCTCTTTCCCTCCCCCCGCTCTGGATTCCCTCCGAATATTTTGTATTTCTAGCTGTGTAAAGTTTCAGCTTTTAGTTTCTGTCTTCATCTAATCATCCATGATTTGGACCTTCTAGGTGGTTATGGAGAAAGTTTGGGATCTTGGTGGTCCTCCTAGTAGCTGGCCACCTTCTCCTCCAGGGAGTGCTGGTCAGTCTCCCCAGGTCGAGGTCTGTATCCAATAAGGGCATTTTGTCTGTGGTCCCAGTGGGAGCCATTGAGTCCCAAGATCACAGCAGCACTGAGCAAACCCAGGCGCACCAGCTAGAGGTCTTGCATGGGGAGAACAGTTGAGTACCAAATGCTCCTTCCCCTATTCTTTTTCATCAGCACCTGGGCCGTGGGCTGCAGATTTGTGCACCTCAGTATCCTTGGGGATCAGGGGAGCAGGTGTGACAGCAGCAAGGGAAGCAGCAGTACAGGAGATGGGCAAGGTCACTACCTTTTCCTGAACAACAACGGGGTGCCATGTTTAATTCTCCCTGGGTGGTGGTCCCCTTCCTTTCTGAAAACCCCCCAAAGGCCATCCCCAGGCCTGTCCCAAAGGTTCATAGTCACAAACAATATCCATACGGATGCCCCAAGCAACCAGAGACAGTCACCAGGATAGACATAGAGAGCTCTAGGCTGACCCTTGCTAAGTGGGACTTAAGTGCTAACCAGTTAGGGTGCTATGTTGTCACCACCCTTACAAGTGGGAGCCTCAGAGACACAGACTGGACCCAACAGCATGCCACACTGAGTATAGTCAATTAACAGCAATTTTAATCTTGGGGAAGGAGCATTTTTAGGATGGAAGGGATCGGAAACAGGTAACAAAGACAACATGGGCCAATGCGTAAGCTCGCTAGTAATTGGCAGTTCCCTCCCAGGTGGCCTTCACTGTATCATGAAACCAGCTAGTTAGCCAAGTGCAGTCAGTTAAAGCTGACTAGGTGTCCTCGGTCATGGCTGGGCCATTCTGTTCCTGATGCCAGTTGTTTTGATCACCTGCTATTCACTCTGTTGGTAAAGGAGGGAGTGCTGCCTAAGGTTATGGGGATGGCTGAACGCAACGACGTCCAGCATGGACAGACGAGATTGACAGCAGTTTATTAATCACATGCACTCACAGCTGGGGGAGGAGGACACCACACACCACACAGGGCCACATGAGCTGCACTCGGGAGCAGAGTGAACAACTGTGGGAGGCAGGCTTTGTAGTAACAAGAGGGTGAGGTGCCCTCTCGTTCCTGTAGGAGGATATGATTGGCTTGTTGGAATAATTCTGTGGGCGGGCAGGGAACTTAAACCCACTGCTCAGGGATTAGCAGGCACTGTGCCTGGTCCCTTGATAAGGAGCGTTGTTTGGCTAGGGGACCTTATTTGTGGGAGCAGAGTGGGGAGAAGAACTTGTGGTTAAGCCATTTCAAGGCCCTCTCGGTTTTACCAGTTGTTAAGACAGCACATAATATTGAATCTTAATTTTAAGTCTTTCACCACAGAGTGTGTGCTTTCTTTATCAAGCTTTGTGATTCTTTTTTTCGTAGCCAAGGAGTGTGATACACTTACTTTGAACTGCTCAACCAATTCTGATGAGCAACATCAGGTAAGAATGATAATTTCAACTATATTTTTATCCTTAGGCATGTGTTAATCTAGCTGGAATTTTTCTAACTAATTATCTTATAGAGCTATAAAAATAAACAATGAAGAGCGGATTTCTGGATAATAAAATAAGTTTGAAAATGATCTTTATGGATCCCAGTAATGTAGCATATCTGTACAACTTCTGTTACTTCTAGTTACTCGGGTACCTTTAGTCCATTGTTTGAAATAAATCTTTATCTACATGCCAAGAACAGGCAAGCAATTTTAGTGAGTTAGAAAGGAGAGTTGCTTTCTTTCACATGTAGTTGGTGTACTGTGTATGAGATTTTTTTTTTTCAGCCGCAACAAACCTAATAATGTTTCTGTAATGTTTTATAAAGCTTTTACTTTTTTTCAGATATCAGAAATCAGACTTTAGCATAATTATTTTTATTGTGTTTCCAAAGAGCAAATATGTTTATTGTTTTCTGATTATAAAAGAATGTTTATTATTTTAAAATTCAGTAAGCACAAAAAGTAGATAGAAAACTTTGAGAATTGCCTATCATTCCACTGTTCCCTTTTCGATGTGCATCCTTCCAGAGGTTTCCTTGTGTCACTGTATGCTTTAGCTACCTGTTGTGGTCGACTCCATCTCTTTTCATGTCCTCAAAGCTGTTGAACAAAATTGCACAATACCTCACATCTGCTGCACTATATTTAGAGCATTAAATATCTTAAAGCATGTCTTGCCTTAAGATATGCTGGTTTGGTCCTGCTCCTTCTATAACACCAAGTTAATTTTTAACAAGACAGATCTGAAGGTTTGTTTAGTCTTGCTTTAAAAACATCAGTCCATAATAAATCTTCAATAGTGGTATTTTTGGGTGGCTCAAAACACCTTTGCAATAAAGCAAAGTTATGCCTTAGTTGATAAAATAAGACATTTTAATCATGAAGCAGAGTTCTTGAAAATTTTCAGTGGAGCTACTTTAAACTTTCATTTGTGGAATAGTTTAATCAATAAAGGGATCTTTAATCATTGGCTGTGGGTAGCATATTCTTATTCTTTAGTCCTGATACTCAGCATTTTCTTTGGAATTACAGTCTAATGGTTGACTTCTGCGCTCACTGAATGTAAATTATTTTAATAAACCTAAAATATACTTCTTTTTCTTTTCTTGCAACCCTTAATTTAACAAAATTTTTCTCCTCTCATTTTTTGTGGTATGATATAGACTCCCTTGAAGTTAAAAGAACACTATTTTGTTTGTTTAATTTGCTTTTCAGGATTTTCCAAAACCGTTTTAGATTAGGTACAGAATATACGTTAGTAACACTGCTCAGCGCTTTTTCCATTTTGAGCATTACAGTTCTGGTCAAATCAAGTAAAGACTACCCTAAAAGACGAAGATGTATTTATCAACTAAAAAAGGGAGAGAAAGCCTATCAAAGTTTTTTTTTTGAAGTTCTGTTGTAAAAACGGAATGTGTTATATTCCCATAAAAGGCTGGACTGTAGCTAGCTACTTCAGCTGGTTATTTCTCTGTGTAATCTGTAGGATTTTTCTTAACCGATAGATATTCAGAAAGATTCTTTGAAATCAACTTGGCAGATAGAACAAAGAAAACTCACTAGGGGAAAAATGTTTAAAAAAAAAAAAAAAACCAAACTAAAAAAAACCCCACACGCTTCATTTTCTATAGTTCAGACATTAAAAGCAAGCTGGAAATAGGTTCTTTAGTAGATTTAATATCTGTTTTTTTGTGGGTTTTATAATGCAAAAACAAATACCTACTTCTGCTGGGGTTTAATTTTAACTGCCTTTGTTTGAATGATGCAGAGGAAAACATTGTGTTGTGCTGGTGTCAAAAATTAAAGTCTGGTGTCTCAGTATTTTATAAAGAACCTTTTACTTTGAGTAACGTAGAAGTCAGTACTCCGTCTATGAGGGATATCCTCCTACAATTTATTACAACTGGTATTTACTGAGCGTATAGTGTGAGACCAAATCTGGATTGGGTATTGTTAGACATAAAAAGGTGGGGGTGGGTGGGAGGCTGGGGGCGTGGAGGAATGAGGTGGGTGGGTGGATAAGACCACAGGCAGAGCTTACAGACTTGCTGGAAAGGCATCATTCACAAGGTTAGATTCTAGGGTGTGGATATGGTTCATATGTTTAAATAATTTCTGTGATATTTTATATCAAAGAAAACATTTCCCAAAACTGTTATCAAACAGTACAGTTTTAACTACATGTACAAACATATACCAAATGATAGGAAAGCAAAATTTATTCCAGTTTGTAGCCAAGGATCCATGCTAAGAGGAGTCTGAAATAATAATAAAAATACGGAAAGTGGTAAATATTAGGATGCTAAGTTGGGGTTAGAGGTTATGGCAAGAATGACCTTTTCCTGTATTTGTGATGTTTATTTGTTTGTTTGTTTTAAATTTTTAAAAACCACATTAAATTATTGGTTTATTAGTTGTGACAAAAGTACCATACTAACATTTGACATTAACAATAGGGAAAACTGGATGTAGGGTTATAAAAGCACTCTCTATACTATCTTCACGACTTTTCTATAAATCTAAAATTGTTCTAAAATGAGAAGTTTATTTAAAAAATCACACTAAATAAAATTTGGAATCTAGAAAAGTGAAGAAACTCATTCACGATTCCACTTCTCTCATACAACCATTTTTTGTCTTTTCGATTTATTCCTTTGTACATTTTCCATGTGCATAATTATAAAAACTCTTTTCTTATAATTTTATATCTTGCTTTCATTGTTTAATATTATTTTGCAAATATTTTATCTAGTTTGCTACATGGTCTTGCTATCCGTTTGAATAGCTATATAGTATTATCACCTCTGACACTAAAATAGATCCTAGGATATGTGTCTGAGGGAAAGATGAGAGCATTCCTGGTAGAAGGAATGGTATAAGCAGTGGCCCAGAGGAGAGTATGTGACAAATAGTGAATTTTGTCTGGAGATGAAGCTATGTATGGAAGATGTTAGATCATGAGGCTGAACAAGGCAAGTTGGGGGCCCAAGAGCTTTGAATACCAGAAGGAAGGCATAGAGAGTTTTAAGTGACAGTCCCATGACCATATCGGAGACCCTGGATGGAGTGGAGAGAAGACAAGATTAAGAGTTTAACCCTGTAACTGTGAGATAGTTGCTACTAAAAATAGAAATAGAGAATTTAGGGAGAAGAGCAGATTTGTGTCTTGTTAGGATTGAGTTTTGTTTGTGCATTGGAAAAGAGGAGAGAAGGGTTGGTAGAATTTGGGGTATGCGAGATTTGTGGTACCAGTGAGTTATGGTGTGAACATGCCCAGGAAGTGGTAGAAAACGCAGCACTAGATGTTGATTTAGGATTCATGCACCAGGAGGCTACAGTTGAAGCCCTAGGGGTGGATGAGATTGTCAAGGAAAAGAGTTCTTGTGGAAAAGCAAAGAGGAGAGCCAAGGATGGAGTTCTGAGGAATGCCTCATTTTAGAGTCTGGAGAAAATGAAGGAGCTCAGGAACAGACAGAAGAGTAGCCAGAGAAAAAAATTATCTGTTGTCATGGCAACTATGCTTTTCTTCATAGCACTCACCCCAGTCTATACTTATATGGGTTACTAATTATTTGATTGTTGTCTCTCTCACTGATTAGACTATGTTCCATGAGGGCAGAGGCTACTATGTCTGTATGTTCATAATTGTGTCCCCAATGCCTAGTACACAGTAGGTGTTCAATACATACATATGGAATAAATAGAAAAAGCCAGGAGAGAGCATTGCCTCAAGTGCCAAGGAAGGGATGGTCTTTATTATCAGGAGGCTAAAGGTAAGGCCTACCAAGACATCATTGAATTTGTCCATTTAGATGTAACTGGGACGCTTCAGGAAGGGAATCTGCGCTGTGGACAGAAAGTCAATTGCAAGGGGTTAAAGAGTGAGTGGGTGATGAGAAAGATTATGCAGTTCTGCTGGGAAATTCATTAAGGTAACAAAGAAAAATATTAAACTATTATTTGGGGATATTGAGAAAAGTAGAGAAAAAGCCTTTTATTTTTTTTTTGGATTGGAATCAAAGATTTTACAAGGATAATGAATTAGCAGGAATGGAGAGATTAAAAAATAAGGGATAGGGAGAGAGAAGAGGGAGAGAGGTAGAATAGTAAATGGAATTTGTTTTCCCCATGGAAGGTACCAAAAAAGAAACCCTGTTGCCATTGAGTCGATTCCGACTCATAGTGACCCTATAGAAGGTAGAGGGGATTTATTTTTTAATCAAATGTTTGTTGATAACATTCTTTGCAATGTGCTATGAAGAACACACAGCACATAGATTACCCTCAAGGAATTTTTAATCTGGTAGGGAAGATAAAGTTATATGCACAAATAATTTTGGTAAACAAAGCTATCAAAAGCACAGATGGATGAGTTAGCATGTTAAAAGTAAGAACTCTTTCAGAGGCAGGGCTGAAAGAAGGTTGGATGGGGAATGATATAAACATTTTTTCAGATGTAAAGATGACAAGTTGAGTTTAATGTCAAGTTTGAGTTGTGCCTTGAACGGTGACATTTGGAAGGGGTAAGAAGGGAGGCAATCTAGCAAAGGCATTAGGGGACTAAAGAGTTTGTTCCTTGTAGTGAGTCCATCCACCACCTGTCTGTCAGTTTGTTTCACTGTGGTGGCTTGCGTGTTGCTCTGAGGCTGGAAGCTATGCCACTGATATTTCAAATACCAGCAGGGTCACCCATGGTGGACAGGTTTCAGCAGAGCTTCCAGACTAAGACAGACTAGGAAGAAAGGCCTAGCGATCTACTTCCAAAAGTTAGCCGGTGAAAATCCTATGGATTACAATAGCATTTTCAATATATTTTACCATATGGTGCTGGAAGATGAGCCCCCTCTGTTGGAAGGCACTCAAAATACACAGTGGCTGCTACAATGGACTCATGCATACTGATGATCATGAATATGGTGCAGGACTGGGCAACATTTCCTTCTG